CTCGCAATCTTGCAGCTGCTCCTCCAACTTTAGGGCCAATGTATATAGTATTTGGGTACATGGACCCTTAGGGTAATACACTTACGGGAGGGTGGACGTGAGGACTCCAGGCTCACGTTCTTCGAGACTTCATCGAAGGAGCCTGAAATGAACACCCAAACCTCAGGCCAACCACCCGACCCTAAGCCCCAAAACCCTGCACCTTGGCGCCCTAAACCCTAAATTTAAATCCTAATGTAGGGACCCTCATGTAGGGGCCTTAATAATTAGAATAGGGTTTTGGGGCTTAGTATACTATAATTATAATAAGGAACCCCCCCAAAGAATGTAGGTAATTGTTGAGGCCACTATATTAGAGAGATCAAGTCATGCAAGACCCAATCATCATTAGGAGAAGGTTGGGGATCATGACTGCCAGAGTCCAGAAGCCGCACTGAGCGGCGCTGCACTTGCCAGGGTTTAGGGTTCAGGGTTTAGGCTTCAGGGTTTATGGTTCAGGGTTTAGGGTTTAGGGTTTAGGGTTTAAGGTGTAGGGTTTAGGGTTGAGGGTTTAGGGTTTAGGGTTCAGGGTTCAGGGTTTAGGGTGGAGGAACATTCCATCAACAGGTGCTGGACAACAGCTGCATCCGCTGGCAAGGTACTCGAGCAAACAGAGATCACGCCGATCCTAGCTGCACACTCTCTGATAGCCCAGCGTTTGTCGGTGCTGCTAGAGTGCACAAGAGCATGAAATCGACTGAAGTGTGTTTCGGTTGTGGTGGCGCCTTAAGGCTACGAAAAGGTTCTATAGTAGTGTTCCCCTTAAGGCTACCATGGGGTTCCACAATCGTCTTCCCTATAAGGGAACCCCTGAGCCCTAAACCCCTGAACCCTAAACCCCAAACCCGAAACCCTAGACCCCTAAACCCCAAACCCCAAACCCTAAACCCTAAACCCTAAACCCTAAACCCCAAACCCTAAACCCTAGACCCCCAAACCCTAAACTCAAACCCGAAACCCCAAACCCCAGACCCTTAAAACGCAGACCCCCAGACCACTGGTCTGGCACTGGGCCGACGACGCGATCCACCAGACCTTCCAAAGTGACGAAGGTGCGAGTGATGAGCACCTTTTACTGTTTAAATAGGGTTTAGGGTTTAGGGTTTAGGGGTTTAGGGGTTTAGGGGTTTAGGGTTTAGGGTTTAGGGTCCTATAATAGGCTCCCCTTAAACTTTAAGGGTATTATAGGGGTCTATAATATAGTATATAAAGTCCCCTTAAAGCGGACTGTTTAAATAGGGTTTAGGGTTTAACTTTCAGTACAGGGTTCTATAATAACCTTTTAACACGAGCACTGAAGCCCTGGGTCGCCAAGCAGTCACCTCAATTTAGGCAGAGGCGTTGAAAAGCCACTAATGTTAGGGTTTAGGGTTTAGGGTTTAGGGCCACTAATGTAGGGGCCTTAATAATTAGAATAGGGTTTTGGGGGGGTTCCTTTGAAAAATTCCTCAAAGGCTTCTAAAAGGGCTACTACAACAAGGTTTAGGGTTTAGGTGCCTGAATAATTAGAACAAGGTTTTTTGGGGGTTCTTTATTATAGTTATAGTATAATGGGCCCGAAAACCTATTCTAATCATTAAGGCCTCTATACTAATCAGGCCCCTTAAGCCCTGACCCGAAACCTTGAACCCCAAATCATACGTGCGTGTAAAATCTTTAACTAAAGGAACCCTAAGCCCGCAACTTTTACGATAGTGCGGGTGGCAAAACGGGAGCCCAAACCACAAAGCCGAGGCTTGAAGGTCTCCCTGTATCCCCAAACCCTGCAAAATAGTCGGTCTGACCCCTAACTTATATGGGGTTTCCGAAAATAGGGGACCCTAATATGGTACCCCAAATAGTGGGATCCTTTTTATAAGGACCCCAAAGGAAGGTTCCGTAATTTCCGGAAACTCTCATATTGTCGAATCCCTAACCCCGAAGGCTAAACCCTAATCCCTAAACCCTAAAGCAGTAGGTTTTTGGATCCACAGGTAGGGCTCAAGGTCAGAGCTACAGTTCAGATTTTACGGCTTGGGATCGGAGCTGCTGTTTCTTTCCCTAAGGGTCCATGTGCCCAAATAGTACAATATTGGCCTTAAGGTAGTCTCTATATAGGTACTTTGGGGCCAATGTTCTACTATTTGGGTACATGGACCCTTAGGGTTTGGGTCAGAGCTATGCTTTGGGGTCTAGGGACAGAACTACGGCGGTTTGGGATTTAGGGTGTAGGGTTTAGGGTTTGTGGGTTTAGGGTTTAGGGTTTAGGGACGAGGATTTAGGGGCATGATGGCATGCCTTCGACAAGCCTGAACCTCACAAAAAACAAAAAAACACACACAAAGGATACCGCTGAGTCATAGAGTGGGGTTTAGGGGTTAGGGAGTAGAGTTTAGGGTTTAGGGTATGAGCACTCAAAAAAATCGCAAGACACGCGTGCTTAGGAGCTTAGGGTTTCGAAGGCCCGTGACGTCAAGCAACCGGATCTTCGCAAGGCACTCTTAAGTCCTTGCATTTCTAAACCCGGTACCTGAAACCCGCAGCCCTCAAACTTAAACCCGAAACTCTAAACCCATGAACCCTAAACCCTAAACCCTGGACCCTAAACCCTGAATCCTAAACCCTGAAACTTACACCCCAAGCCCCAGAACTTCTGAAACAAAACCATCCCAGAGTCCCTATGTGCAGTCTGGGCGCTACATAGGGCGGCGTGAGCATCAAGTAACGGTCCTTTTCGGGCTGTGGGGCTTCGGGGGATTTGGGTTGGGGGGTTTCGGTTGTGGGGTTGGCGTTCAGGGTTGTGTTTTGTATGCAGAAGCATTTTCAGATTAGTATTTTGAGTTTTGGGCATAAAAGCCTAGCACCTAAACCCGAAACCAAAACCCCTTAACCCTAAACCCAAACCCCTAAACCCAAACCCCTAAAACCCTATAAATACCAAGGTGATCAACCCGAAACCCAAAAGTCTAAACTGCAATCCGGGCGGGTCCGGTGGGGCCCTGGACGGCCGTGGGACGGATGGCGGTTTAGGGTGTAGGGTTTAGGGTTTAGGGTTTAGGGTTGCGGTGCAAGTGCTTCATAAATCCATCCATAAACCCTATAACCCCAAACCCTGCAAAATAGTGGGGCGTGACCCCTTAGTTAGAGGGTAGAACCTTTTAAACGGCAGGTTTTTGGGATCCCCAAGTAAGCCACGGTTTTCGGGGTCAGGAAGTGCGATGTTGGGCTTGGTGCAAACTTGAGACCCCAAACCTTAAAGCCCTAAACCCAAAACCCCAAAGCCCTAAACCCTAAAGGATCCCTTAACCCTAAAGCCCTCTAATATAAACATACTATAAAGGAGCCCAAAACCCTGTTCTAAATATTAACGGTTTAGGGTTTAGGCCCCGACATTATAAGCTCTAAAAACTCTAGACCCTAAACCCTAAACCCTAAATCCTAAACCCTAAACCCTAAACCCTAAACCCTAAACCCTAAAGCCCCCTTAAAGGAACCCTAAAGGCCGTTAAAGGACACCGAGCCGGGGCCCCGACGGAAAGACGTCGAATCGCCGCCACCGTCGCGCCAAGCTTTGCCTGAGCCTCCGAGTCCTCTTCGGGCTCTCCCTTTAAAGGGTTTAGGGTTTAGG